CAGAGGACGCAGCAGCTTGAGGAGGTCAGGCAGCAAGAGGAAGGAGCTAACCAGGCACCAGAAAGAACTGGTGCACAAAGCAAACTCAATACACAAGTATCAGAATTTGGGGAAGATGGCGAAGGAGTAGGATGGAGCAGATTCTAGCTCCCATACTCGTGGGTGAAAATCCTGGCAGATCTATAGAGAAACAGCACAACAAACCATTGGTTACCCAGCATTTATGAAGTTAAAAGACCAGAGATTGTGAATGATGCTGAAACACCAGACAGTGGCAGAGTCAGCTACAGGAGCTGGGACACACGCGGCCCCTGTGCCGCCACCATAGCAACAGGCCTGGGAGAGTCAGGTATGGGAGCCAGACACTCCAAGCCCCTGTGACAGTCCTGGGCACCAGAGGAGTCAGGTATGGGAGCGGGGACATTCTTGGCCCCTGTGCCGCTGCCATAGAGATGGGACTGGACACCGGGGAATCTGGTACGGAAGCCGGGACACTCTCGGCCCCTGTACCGCTGCTGTAGCAATGGCCTGGGCCCTGGAGGAGTCAGCTACTAGAGCGGGAACACTCAGCAGTGGTAGGCAAACAGCATGGGGACCAGCATGAGGACCAGTGTGAGAGTAGGTGGAGATGGAGAACATCAAGATACCTGAAGGAGTCTGCACCACTGAACTTCACAGGTATCATAACACAGAAGCTCACACCATAAACCCAGGGTGTCAGAACAGATCAATTTTAGAAGCTGAGACTAACAACAAGAGTCTCAAACAATGGGAAGACAAAGAAACAATCCCCTAATGAAAGAAAAAGCAGAAACTTCAGAAAGAATGTTAGATGAAATAGAAGCTAATCAACTATCAGATAGTTAATTCAAAGCACCGGTTATTATGAAGTTCAAAGAGCTCAAAACTAGCTATCAGAAGCTCCAGGGGAACTACAATGATCTCTCTGAAAACTACATCAACATGAAAAAGGAAATAGAAACTATCAGCAAGGGACAAGAGGAAATAAAGAATGCAATTTCCAAATTGAAGAACACAGTAGATAGTTTCAAAAGTAGGATAGATAAGGTGGGAGATCGGATTAGCAAGTTGGAGGACAAAGTAGAAAGCATCTCACAGAAAGAGCAAGAAAATGAAAAGAGGCTCAGAAAGAATGAAGAGGGATTAAGAGAAATACAAGACAATATGAAACGTAATAATATCTGAATAATAGGAATACAAGAAGGAGAAGAAAAAGAACAAGGGATAGAAAACCTATTTGAAAGAGTAATGAGAGAAAATTTCCCTAATTTGATGAGAGAAAAAGTCACACAAATCCAGGAATCACAGAGAGTCCCAATCAAGAGGAACCCAAGGAGGTCCACTTCAAGACACATCATCATCAAAATGGCAAAATTCCAAGACAAAGAGAGAATCTTAAAGGCAGCAAGGGAGAAAAAAGAAGTAACATACAAGGGAGCCCCAATAAGGTTAGCTACTGACTTCTCAATGGAAACACTCCAAGCAAGAAGAGAATGGCAAGAAATATTCCAAGTAATGAGAACCAGAGGCCTACAACCAAAGCTACTTTACCCAACAAGGGTCTCAATCAAGATAGAAGTCCGAATAAAGAGCTTCCAAGACAAAAGAAGTCTAAAAGAATTTGCTGCCACCAAACCAGCTCTACAAGAAATACTAAAAGGACTGCTTTAAGGAAAGGAAGGATAAGAGGGAGACAGAGAGGAACACAGGTACAAAAATGGCAATGAATAAGTACCTATCAATAATAACCTTAAATGTAAATGAATTAAATGCTCCAATCAAAAGACACAGAATAGCTGAATGGATAAGAAAGCATGACCCACACATATGCTGCCTACAAGAGACCCACCTCAGGACAAAAGACCATCACAGACTAAAAGTGAAAGGCTGGAAACAAGTCTTCCAAGCAAACGAACAAGAAAAAAAAGCTGGGGTAGCAATTCTCATATTGGACAAAATAGACTTCAAAAAGAGGGCCATAAAGAGAGGCCCAGGAGGTCACTTCATTATGCTCAAGGGAAGAATCCACCAAGAAGACATTAACATTGTAAACATATATGCACCAAACATAGGGGCACCCAAATATATCAAGAAAATCTTAGAGGACTCCAAGAAAGATATTGACAGCAACACAATTATAGTAGGGGATTTTAACACCCCACTATCAAAAATTGACAGATCTTCCAAACAAATTATCAACAAAGATACTGTGGCATTAAACAACACCCTAGATGAAATGGACTTAACTGATATATATAGAGCCCTTCATCCCAAAGAAGCTAAATACACATTCTTTTCAAATGCACATGGAACATTCTCCAAGATAGACCACATGATAGGACACAAACCGAGCCTCAACAAATTCAAGAAAATTGAAATTATACCAAGCATCTTTTAGGACCACAAGGGACTGAAATTGGAAACCAACCCCAAAGGAAAAAACCCAAAACACCCCAAATCATGGAGACTGAATTGTATGCTATTAAACAACGAATGGGTCAAGAATGAAATTAGGGAAGAAATCAAAATGTTTCTGGAAACAAATGAAAATGATCTCACAACAACCCAAAACTTGTGGGACACAGCGAAGGCAGTCCTGAGAGGGAAGTTTATAGCAATACAGGCCTACCTAAAGAAGATAGAAACATTTCAAACAAACAACCTAACTCTACGCCTGCAAGAACTCAAGGAACAACAACAAAGACAGCCCAGAGCAAGCAGAAGGAAGGAAATAACCAAGATTAGAGCAGAATTAAATGACGTAGAAACTAAAAGCACAATTCTAAGAATCAATGAATCCAGGAGTTAGTTCTTTGAGAAGATAAACAAAATAGACAAGCCTTTAAGTAGGCTCACCAAGAAAAGAAGAGAGAAGACACAAATAAACACAATCAGAAACAAAAGAGGAGAGATTACAACTGATACAACAGAAATAGAAGGGATTGTAAGAAATTACTATGAAGAACTGTACGCCAAGAAATTTGAAAACCCAGGGGAAATGGACACATTTCTAGAAAAATATAATGTTCCAAAACTCAATGAAGAAGCAGAAAACCTGAACAGACCACCTCCTTAAGGTCAATTTTTCCTTGTACAATGATTTTATGTGAAATATTTTCATTGATCCTAAATCAAGAATGAATATGTATTAGCCATCTTTCTCATGGTAACAAAAGGTTCCCAAGTCCTCATCGTCTCCAACAGTGTTTCTTCTTGATATTTCATGTTGCTGACTATAATTGGAAGTGTCTGCCACAGCTCTACTTGGGTATGCACAAAAAATCTCATTCTTGGTCTTCGGTAAAGGAACAATATCCATTTGAAATAAGCCATCCTTCTAGAAAAAGAAAATGCAAGAAAACTGAAGGAACCTGTACTATTTTTGCATACAATCTCATTCATTTACACTTTATTAGTCTAATAAAGCCACATAGCCAAGGTACATGGCTTGGGGAGAGAAATTCTGCCTACAGGGAGGGCACAGAAGAACAGACAGGAGGTGTGCCATCTTATAGGGAAAAAGATAAATAATTGGGGACAGTAATATGATTTGTCACAGCATGTCAGTTCTTGGGTGGTGTCTTAATTTTGTAAAACCCCCAGTAAATTCAGCTTTAGATACAAGTGCTAACAGACCCAAACAGCTTGTTAAAGTTCTTAGATGTGTATTCATAATTATTTCTAGTCTGCACACTGAGTACTAATCAATATTTTCCACTGTGTCATTCATCATTAGTACTTTTATATTTTAACTATGAGTTAGAGTTTAACTAAGGGCTAAGCTGGACTAAAGGAAATAAATGATTTTTCCTATATTTAGGTATTTTACTCTTGATGTTAAATTTTACTTCATTATTAAGTATGTGACCATAAAATGTTCATATGCTGTCAAAGTGCACCCTATACAAACTGTTTAGGAGTCAAGTATCAACAATGTATACAAGTGACAGTAATTTACAGGGAGCTTCTCCACAAAGGCTGTCTCATGTTGCTCAGCTTCCTCTAGTAACCAGCTCCTTGGTTACTAAATAGTTAGGAAATTAGAGAGTTCTTGGCACTTTACCTAAAGGTTTGGGGGTGTTAATCTTGGTTTCTTGGTAAGATCCCAAGTAAGGTAATGACTTTCTGACTTCTAGAGTTACTTCTGTAATTTTGTTCGAACAGGATGTTCTTCTCACTTTCTGTCCCATGTGGTTTTGCTAAGTGACCTGCTTATTACAGAGATGTGCTATCTTCCTCTGTAAGTAAGATGAGGATAATTTAAAAGCACTTGTAAAAACTTCTGAGCAGCAGCAATGTACTATGTCATGAATACGTCTTGGATCTAGACATGGACTCTCTCCTGACAGAGATCTCAAATATAACCAAATTTATGTATTGACTTTCCTCATTTTGATTTGCTTGGATAGTTTGTCCCTGGGTGAGCTCACCCCATAGAGGAAACTCAGTAAGAAGATCCAACCTGGATCTCTCCTCTGAATGAGAAGTGGAGAAGTTCTCAGGAACCTCCTTGGCGTCTTCTCTCTGGCTAGTCAGACAGACTTCACACAATCTCTCTTAGAAAGATGGGTTAAACTGAAGATTATGGAGAAGCAATCTTGGGTGTTCACCAAGATTATTAATAAATATTTCCTATTATTTTAATGTTTAAGGACATGTTTTGTTATTTATCTCACTAATATAGCTTATTTAGAAGAATGCATATTTATGTGAACATATTTTAACAGTACAAATAACTTGATTATGAGACATTTTCAACAAATAAATGTTGAAAACTTGTAGTCTAAAAATCATAATTACAATCCTTTCCACTTTCCTTCCAGGAGGTTGATAACATAAAGTCTTCTTTACCTTTTCAGGACACACACACACACACACATACACACATACACACACACACTCTCTCTCTCTCCTACTCTTTATTTCCTACTGTGCAAGTCAGACCAGACTGTAATATTTGACAAAATTTTGCAAAATTTGTGCTTACTTCAGCAGCACATATACTAAAATTAGAATGCAATGGAGAAGATCAGCATGGACCCTGGGCAAGGATGACAGCAAATGTATGAAGGGTTTCATACTTTTGGTGGAGAAATTACCCAGAACAAACAACTGAACAATAGTGAGAGAGAAGACTCAAAAACTAGGGCTCACAGAGGAACTATCTTGAACAAACCTGCCCACACCTGCACAACAGAATACAAGATGTGATGGGTTGAGTGACCATCAGCTAACCGGCTGGAGGGAAGGATCCACCAAAGAAAGACGCCACAACAATAAAAAAGCAAATACATCCAGAGAGACAACATAAATGACAGTCCAAGACCAGCAAGCTCAGGAGATCAAGAAGACTGCACTACTGAATCTCGCAGATCTCCTACAATAGAAGTTAATACCATAAATTGAGAGAGTCAAAACAACAGCCAACAAGAAGAGTTTCACAAACAATGGGAAGACCAAAAAAAAAAAAAAAGAAAGGAAAGGAGGAAGCCTCAGAAAGAATGCTAAATGAAAGAGAGGAAGTTCAACTATCAGATATTGAGTTCAAAGCAGTGGTTATAAGGAATTTAAATTAGCTCACTGAGAACCACCAGAAACTACAGGGAAACTATAAGGAACTCACTGGAAATATTACCGGAAAAAGGAAATAGAAACTATCAACAAGGCCAAGAGGAAATGAAGAATACAATCTCTGAATTAAACAACACAGTAGAAGGGATCAAAAGCAGGCTAGATGCAGTTGAGGACTGAATCAGCGAGCTGGAGGACAAGGTAGGAAAAAAACCCAGAAAGAGCAAGAAAAGGAAGAGACTCAGAAAGAACAAACAGGTGTTAAGGGAACTGCAGGACAACATGAAGAGTAATAATTTCTATATAATAGGGAAACAAGAAGGAGAAAAAGAGCAAGGGATAGAAAACCTATCTGAAAAAGTAATGATGAAAAACTTCCCTAATTTCATGAGAGAAAAAGTCACACAAATCCAGGAAGCAGAGAGGGTCCTAATAAATTGGAATCCAAAGAAGCCCACTTCAAGACACATCATCATCAAAATGGCATAATTCCAAGACAAAGAGAGAAGCTAACAGGCAGCAAAGGAGAAACAGAAAGTAACATACAAGGGAACCCTGATAAAAATTCTAAATGGAATTGCTCCAAGCCAGAAAAGATTGGCAAGGAATATTCCAGGTAATGAAAAACGAAGACCTGCAACCAAGATGCTTCTAACCAGAAAGGCTCTGAATTAAAATGGAAGGCCAAATAAGAAGTATCTTAGATTAAAAAAAAAACTCAAAGAATACACCTCCTCTAAACTATCTCTGCAAGAGATGCTGAAGGGTCTGCTTTAAGAAAAGGAAAAAAAAGAGAGAGAGAGGAATAGAGGTATAAAAATAGCAATGACTAAGTACCTATCAAAACTAACCTTTAATGCAAATAGATTAAACATTCCAAACAAAAGACATAGAAGAGACTTCTGGCCAGGATGGAGGTGTAGGTGGAGAAACTGTGCCTCCTTGCACAACTAAATTTAAGGACAACAAAGATTTAGAAACAAAAACACAACTAGAACAGACAGAAAATTGAACTGTACCCAAGTCTGACAAAAAGGAACCATTCATCCAGACTGGTGAGAGAGGTGGAGTTGGCAGCAAGCAGAGAGAGGTCCCAGCAGGAAGGGGCGGTGATTAGCAGACCTGGGTGCGGGGATGAATCAAGCAAACCCAGTGAGGTGCACAAGGTAGTGGCTGACTGCAGACACACATTCACATGCAGATAAACCAGGCAAAAAATGAGCAGTGAGGCAGGCCATGAAACCCAGGGCCCTAGTGATGGGAAATAAAGCCTAAAAGCACTGATTGAAAAAACTTTCAGGAGTCAAGGTGCCAGGATAGGCTCCCAGACTCATAGGAGAGTTTGTTGGAGAGACCCACAGGGTCCTAGAACATATACAAGCCCACCCAGCTTGGAACCAGCACCAGAAGGTCCCAATTTACTTGTGGGAAGTGACAAAGGAGACCAAAATCTGAGAGAGTGTGGAACAAGTGCGATTGCTTGCTCTCTGACCCCGCCCCCACATACAGCATCACAATCCAGCAACATGGGTTGCCCTACCCTGATGAACACCTAAGGCTTCGCCACTCAAACATAACAGGCACAAACAGACCAAAGCATTATGGCTCAAATGGAAGAACAGATCAAAGCCCGCTTTTTTCTAAGTGACAAAGAGATAGCCAACCGATTAGATGCACAGTTCAAAACACTGGTGATCAGGATGCCCACAGAACTGGTTGATTCTGGTCACAAATTAGATGAAAAAATGAAGGCTACACTAAGTGAAATGAAGCAAAATGCACAGGGAACCAATAGCAATGGGAAAAAAAAAACACCACAAAACTGGGACTCAAATCAATGGAGTGGACCAGAAGTAAGAAAGAAACAACCAAACAGAAAAGAATAATGAAACGAGAATTGAAAAAAATGAGGAGAGGCTTAGGAACCTCCAGGACATCTTTAAACATTACAACATGCGAATTATAGGGGTGCCAGAAAGAGAAGAGGAAGAGCGACAAGTGGAAAACTTATTTGAACAAATAATAAAGGAGAACTTCTCCAATCTGGCAAAAAATAGACTTCCAGGAAGTTCAGGAAGCTCAAAGAATCTCAAAGAATTTGGACCCAAGGAGGAACAAACCAAGGCACATCATAATTACATTACCCAAGATTAAAATGAGAGAGAGAGAGAATCCTAGAATCAGCAAGAGATAAGGAGACAGGTACCTACAAACAGGTTCACATCAGACTGTCAGCTGATTTCTCAAAAGACACCTTACAGGCAAGAAGGGGCTGGGAAGAAGTGTTCCAAATCATGAAATCCAAAGAGCTACATCCAAGATTGCTCTATCCAGCAAAGCTTTCATTTAGAATGGAAGAGCAGATAAAATGCTTCTCAGATAAGGTCAGGTTCAAGGAGTTCATCATCACTAAGACCTTATTATACAAAATGTTAAAGGGACTTATCTAAGAAAAAGGAGATAAATAATATGAACAGTGAAAGGACAGAAAACTCACAATTATTAACAACCACACCTAAAACAAAAGCAAACTAAGCAGACAGCTAGATGAATAGCAGAACCATAGAAATGGAGATCACATGGAGGGTTAGCAACAGGGGAGTGGGAGGAGGAGAACGAGGCAGAAATATTCTTTTATACTGAGAATAAGTAGCATAGGTGATGAGGGGGAAATAGGGAGAGGGCAAGAGTAGTGTGGAAAATGTAGAAGCTAAAGAACTTATGACACATGACATAAACTACAGCAGGGGAAGGTGGGTGGCAGGGGGTGTGCAGGGTGGGGGGGAATGAAGGGAGGGGAAATGGGACAACTGTAATGACATAATCAATAAAATATATTAAAGAAGACATAGAACACCTATGGATAAGAAATCATGACCCACACATATGGTGTCTACAAAACACTCACCTCAGAAGAAAACACCTACACAGAGTGTAAGTGAAGGGCTTAATGTTTGTTTGTTGTAAACAAACATTACAAGCAAATGGACAAGAAAAAATGTGGGAGTAGCAATAATCATATCAGAAAAAATGGATTTCAAAAAAAGAACCATAAAAAGAGACCCAGAAGGTCACTTTATAATACTCAAAGAAAGAGTATTATGAAGGAGACATAAGATTGGCAAGGAATATTGATACAAAGAGTATCAAGGAGACATAAATATTGTAAATATATATGCACCCAACACAGGAGAACCCAAATACATAAAGAAAATCTTGGAGGACTTGAAGAAATATATTGACAGCAGCACAATTATACTAAGAAATTTCAACACCCCTCTGTCAAAAATGGATCAATCTTCCAAACAAAATATCAACAATGGTATTGTTACATTAAACAGTGCCCCAGAACAAATAGACTTAACTGGTACACATAGAGAGCACTTCATCCCCCAAAAGAAAATATACATTCTTCTCAAATACACATGGAGCATTTTCAAAGATAGACCACATATAGGACACAAAATAAACCTCAACAAATTCAAGAAAATTGAAATCATATCAAACATATTCTCTGACCACAAGGGACTGAAACTAGAAACCAACGTCAAGGAAAAAAAAAACCAAAGACTCAAACTCATGGAGATTGAATAGCATGCTATTAAACAATAAATGGGTCATGAATGAGATCAAGGAAGAAATCAAAAAGTTTCTGGGAACAAATGAAAATGAACTCACAACTGTGGTAGACTCTGGCCAGCAGAGTCTGCTTGTTCTGTTTGACGATGAAAAAAATGCACAGGTGACAACAACCCTGTGTGGAAAAAGGGAATGGCGTGGCTACTCTCTCAAGGGGAGAGTGCCTATGGATGCCTTGACCACTCTCTCAAGATGAGAGGGCCTCGACCCTTGCCTAAACAGCCTTTTATTGTTTTCTTCAGGTCTTATATCAGAGAAAGATTTATTATCTATTACATAGAATGTTATTGTCTACATTTTAGGTACAATCAAGGAAGTGAAAATAATATGCAGAGGGCAATGGAAATGAGCTGATTAGCTCTGTCCTTGGGAAAATTCACACAGGCTTTGGAAATTATCTTGAAGATAGACAATACACATTTGTTGTTTTAGACCAGGGTGATGGAGTTTTAGCAAGAGCAAACCATAATAGTCTTTATGTATTTTCTAGGCCTGATTCCCACAGAAAAACTCAGTTTGAAGGTCTGGCTCCTGCCAACCACTTCACTATTGTAGGTTTTCCATATAGAGCTGAGTCACATTTGCCAGAATAAAACAAACCAGGCCTCTACAATTCCCCCCTTTAAAAATTTTTTTTGTTAAGGCTGTGGTGGTGATGCATCCCACAAGACTTGCTACTTGCCGGTCTCTTTTGTAACACTGGGCAAATAATTTGCAAATGCATCCTAACATACAAAGCATTATTAAAATCAGTGAACAACCAGTGACTCCAACGAACCATGATCTCAGGTTGAGTCCATCAAACTAATGTTTGGGTTTAACGACTGAGATTATCATTAACAGTTTAAAGAATCTCCTGCTTAGTTAAGTGTTGA